TGAGGCACAGGAATAACAGGGAAAAGGAGAGGCAAGTAAAAAATATCCATTACTTGCTGACATGAGATAGAGATGGGATTTTATTGTTCACCTTTTAGCAGGAGACTAATTGAATTGTGTCTGTTGTGTCTATATGGAAATGAGTTGCGGGAATTCCTGGATGCACAGAAACCTATGCTCACCATCCGTTCAATCTTTGTTCTGAAAACCCTTCTTGTAACGCAGTGGTAGGCAATGACACTATCAGTTTGCTTAACATAGTAACTGAACCTTCAAATGTTCAAATTTAGCAGAAAATGGTCATGGCAGTGATGAGAAAACAAATTTAAACAGCAGCAGGTACTCAGTCTTTACTGATGGTGTTAATGTGCCATTTTTTGATTACTAAGGTACTAAGATTAGAGCTATCCTAATTTACGGCAAATGCCTTTTCTGTTAAATGGATATAAGATTAGGTCTGTTCTCTCTCAAAGAACTATTTTGGAAGCATTAGTTTTATGACAAATGTATCTCACTGCAACAAGTGTGGGTGTTTTCAGGAACATGGACCTTTCTGCTTGCCAAAGTGGCCTTTCCCAGTGCCTGCCCAATGAAGCTCCACAGATGGACGGACCTACACAGCTTGTTGGAAAGCACATTCTGGCTTCTGAGAAATTCACATTGTGATTTGTGAACAAAGCACTCCAGCAACATGTCAGTCTAAACTGCAAAATGATTAAGTACTCCTAAAAGAATGGAGCAGCCTCTATTTGTCAGAAAACTCAAACACCAGAGTTACTGTCTTTCAGGGAAAATAATAAGGCTAATTTATTTACTGAGACAGAAATAAATAATCCTTTGCACAGCTGGAAACAGACTCTGAACTATAACCCCACACAATGTGTTTTCAGGGACTATCTGAAATGAACTCTCATGGCTTGTTATCTGGGGGATTCCCTTCCTTGTTGCCACTTCACTCCAGGGGAAGGTCCCTGTCAGGCTATGTCCTCAGGCAGTACCCTCACCTGCTCTTTCTTTGTATTCTGAGGTCAGCAAGGTAACCCAAAGAAAATCAAAGAAAGATCAAAAAACAGTGTTGAAGACTGTCTCATCTACTTTCTTTTATTTTTTTTAATTTATGAAATTCTATCTTACTGTGGAAGATAAGTAATATCCATTACTTATGGAATGCAAATGTCCTAAGCAAAAAATTCTTGTTTCTTTTCTTAAATTCCCCTTCCCCTCAATTTCTTTTTTTTTTTTTTTGCTTTTAGTGGCAGGCAGGTTATCAAATGAGATATTTTAGCTTCTCATGAGCTGCATGCAGGAGATGGGAACACGCAGAAAGAATCTTCATGATGCTTTTTGAAAGAAAGTGTGGACTGGACTCTACAGTACTGCCTCCTGCCCCCTTAGCTTTGGTGAGCCTTCATGCTCCAATTTTAGGAACTTCTTGGCATAAACTTTTTTTAAGAATTCTATGTAAATGCGACGGTAGACAATCTCCCTAAATGATATACAAAACACGCTCCTACCCTTGTAATCCACATTTCTATGTACAGACCTGTATAGTCTACTTCATTTTAAAAGGATTTTTATACATACCATAGACCTCATTAAGAACCTTGGTCTAAATATGTTTCTGAATAGAAAACCTGATGCTTGCAGTATCAACACAGCTAAGTTTACGATGTAATAAAAACTACTCATTAAATTAAGAAGTGGAATTTGTTCTGTCTTGCAAACCTAACAGACTTAGATCTCTCCTCTGCCATGGCCTCACCTTATCATCCAGCTTGTGTACTCAGATTTGATTCAACAGATGAACCTACACTTTATCAAATAAATGGAACATTGAACATCACAATAATAATGTTCCTTGGGCATACATTTGAAAGACCTTTCTTTAACAGTGAAGTCCAAAATGTCAGAACTTCAAAAATCTGGTGTTTTTGAAGGGGGTGATTTCTGTTATGAGTATGCTTTTCTGCCAGCTACCACACTTACGTCAAATTTATAAAAGAGATGCCAGTCTTTTTACACATTCTAAGTATGTAGAGTAGGAAAAATTATTTCTTTTTGTTAATTAAAGCTTTTTGTTCCTTTCCAGACATTAACTTGCACTTATTTTCTCTCTCCACCTCTGTGATTCATCTGTATTTATGTATTTTACTATAAGAACACCTTCCTGCCTGTACCCTGCTTGCCTGCTTGCACTTAATTGTTTACCAGCACACTGTAATATGACAAGCTGCTTCTTCACTGTCTACTTTGTTCCCTGTGAATTTAGCAGCCACAGTCAGACAGTGAGGCACACTGACCATGAACCTGGGGAAAACAGTCATGATCCATTTGGCTGCTGCTGAGCTCTCTGATACAATCTTTTTCATTTTCCTTCTATTTGTTTCTTTAGGGAAATAGGAGATCAGACTAATGATGAAGTCAGTTCATCAAGCAGTGTTTGTCTTATGCACAACCGAATCAGAAGGTCAAGCCTGAGGAAGGACAAGAGCTGGAACAGATGTGGAAATATGAAACATCTGGCTTTGTAGAACCAGTGAAGTCACCACTCATTCCTGGGAATACTTCACATCTCCAAGGTCATCCATCTCCTCTGGTAATGTTATCTTCGTCATTATGAGTATCATCTTTCTTTTACATTCATATACAAGGTTATGAGTCTTAAAGGATACCATTAGCCTAGCAACCACACCTCAGACATAAAATCTTTCTAGCATATGACTGTTAAAATTAACACTCTGAGCACAACTGAGGTACCAGAGAGAAACACCGGTTTTAATGTTTTCTCTTTACATATGGTTGTGTTAGTGGTATAAATTCAAATTCAGAGCACATAATTTTGGGCAAATCATCTCCTGGCTAATAGCTCTTCAGAAGACATGTAGTTAAAAAACGGCAGTGGTGACAGAGGTTACATGCCTGCAAAGAATCTTGTGAGAAATACACAACCTTGCTTGAAATAAAAATATTGATGTGAATACTGCAGACAAAAACTTCACAGTTAACTTTGCAGTAGCAGAGTTTGTTCAAAGCCTGACAACCAGTTCTGGATTTAGATGTCTGGAACAATCCAGAATTGTGTTTTTCCAGTCTTGATAATTCAATGTCTGCCTCTACTTTCTATTCTTTTTTTCTTCCTACCTTCCTGCCTTCCAGTCTTTCCTCCTTCCTGCCTTCCTTGCTCCCTCCCATTTGCTTTCCTTCTCTTTCTCCCTCCCTTCCTCATTCCTTTCTTCCATCTTCTATCATTAAGCACGTTTTTTACATTTGTGTGCAGAACAATGGTTCAGAAGTAGGTTCTATATGTACATATCATTATTATTATTACTACTACAGTAGTAGAAATGGCCATAAATGAATTAATGCTGTTCCTCTAAGGAGGTTCTCTCTGCTAATCATTGATAAGAAATGTCACAGAAAATTCAACATTAAGGTAAACTGAGACACATATGTACTACACATGTAAAGCAAGCTCAAGTGCCGTGGAGCTCATCGTACATCGTGACAATCATAAATGGATAGGAAAAGTATTTCTGCAGCACAATCATATTTTTCTGACAGTCTTTAATGCGAAGAAGATTTCAGAGTGAAAAAAAAAGAAAAAGAAATAAAAAGATCTCTATCTTGATGTTCACCTAGGGAAGGGATGACTAGTTTACACCTGATGGGCTGCACTGAGTGCTCGTGAATAGCTAAAGGGTGTTTAAAGCCTGCTATACACTTTGAACTCTGATTGTGGGAGAAAGAAGGCAGCAGGGACTGCTGTATGTCCAGTTCCATCAACTACCTACATTGCAATGATGGAGTGGAACTCCATGCTGCTGTCATGTCTTCCCTGAAAAGTTGTCCTTCGGATGGTCTCCTTTCTGCCATTGTCCCAGGTACATGCCAGGTGATTGTGGCACATATAAATGATTAGTTATGCATGAGGAATAATTTTTGATGGATGCACGAACTGCTGGTTACTGAACAGAATACTGCGCTTTTGGCAAGTTCAGCCATATAAAGAAATATCCTCTATTTTGCAAAGTTCTGTCTAGACAGGCAGTCTTTTCTTTTTAACACTTCCTAGCTGTTTTTCCCCATTCCCCTCCAGTGGTATTAATTACTCCATGCAGTATTTTCCACTGAAATTAAAAGGCACTGCAGAGGCTGAAGTCACAAAAATCTCAAACAGTTTCAGAAAATGAAACTTCTGTAAAATAACTATTATCAATCTTTCCTCTTGAGTGTTACCCTACACAAAGTGTTGCAGACTGTCGTCAGCCGGAATTCCAGGATGCTGCCATATGAACCGAAAACAAAGCGTAGAAGAAAGATTAAGTTACAAAATTGAAGCATGTCTCTTCAGTCATTTTGTAAGAAATAAAAACCTCTGGAATTGAATCCCAAGTTTTTGACAATGTGATTTTGCTTTAAAAATGCTTCTGCAAAAGCAGCCTCATGGAGCCTCCAGAAATTGTTGAAAGATCTTGTGTTCGTCAAGAAAGTATAAGTATGTGTTAAAGGGACAGCCTTGCCACTGCAGAATAGGAGCCTTGGACACAAGCTGTCTTATTTTCCTGTCACACATCTCCATAATAAAATGATAGACCTAGTGATACTTGTGCAACTCTACAGCATCTTTAAAATATGATCCCAGTGACAGATAAACAATTATGCTTCCTTCTGAGGTTTTCTGTAGTTGGATGAGGTAGAATTTTAATCATGATATGCCTAACAAATACTGAAAGGTAATAATATCCATGCTCTACTAATTGGATTTTGTCCTATCAAAGGAAATGTAGAGAAATTTACAAAGGGAACAGATCTGTTGGATTAATCACTTTTAATGAGAAAATATTGATTAAAGCAAATAAAAGTCGGTATGATATAATATCCTTTTAGAGTCTGGATCACAGTGATCCCATTTGTGAAATTCTTCAAACAGGCATCTGAAAGACTTGATCAAAACAATGCATTGAGCTCTCTCTTTGCCTCTAAGGAAAGTGTGAACATACCAGCTCCTTCTTCTTCATGCACTCCATGAGGATAATGAAGAGGTGCTGCGCCTGGGTTCGGGTGTATGTGAAAGTCTTCTGTATGGTAACTAGCAACTGGTCCCTCAAAGACTCGTTGATAAGTCTGAAATCCAAAAAGAAAAAATAAAGTAGAAAAACAGACACGAGGGAACATTGCAACTTCAGCCAAGAGTCAAACAAATAAGTTAGACAACAAATCACTGCAGGTTGTTTTGGACAGGTTTGAAGGACAGGAATTGCTGAAACCATCATAGACAAATTGGAAAACACTGTTCTAGAAAAACACATTGATCAGGTTGGAGTACCTCATCTGCAAAGTTTCTATTTCAGTTCCCACATATTGCATGACAGAAGGTCATTCAATCTATTTTGTTAGGGATTCCCTAGCAAAAACAAGAACCATACTGACAGTCTGGGTTTGAAGGAGACCAAGACTTCCAGGTGAACTGAAGACCCCTTTCTAACATTGAGTTAGCAGAATTCAACTCATGATTCATTTTATGAAACTGGGAGCATTTGTGTTGTCAGTGGTTTTGATTTTAGCTTGACTATCCCAGCAGTTTCAACTCACCTTATTGATGCTGCACAGAACTGGGTAAGAAAACAAACAAATAAATTTCTCTGTTCCCATGTCCACTTGAAGAAACCATTTTGCTTTCATTCATGTGGATCTTCCAGGAGTTTAAAGAGTAACCATTTGTATATTCCTCCTCAGTGTTAATGTTCATACTTGCAAAAAGTGACCAAACATCAGAAATAAATAGTAATATTACATGGAATATTAGCATGTGGACCCTACCCCTTGATATCAAAAACCCTATTCGTCAGGACTGTTCTGGGTGAAACATTGCTGTTCTTAATGTCTTACAAAATACTGGGCTCTAATTTAGAACATGTACCCTTTGATGTATGAAAAATTCTACAGTATAGCAGTTTTCTCACTTAAAAATTGTAACTGAGTGTTTCAAATTGGCTAAGTCAGAACGTTTTACAGGATAAGTCATTGTTGATCATCTTGGGGAAGGAAAATCAGAGAATCTTCATAACACATATTTTATGACAGAAGATAAACAAAGATGCAGCCCTGTAGCGACTGCAACGAATTATCAGAAGCAGCACACTATCTCATTGTTAGCTTATGGCAGCTGCTTTGGGAGAACAATGACCAAACCCTTGTTTATTTCATACTATTGGTAAAAGTTGCCTGTACTTCTCTGCAGCAAGGAAGCCCAAATGAGACTGCAGGATATTCATTACATAATTGAATTTCAAATAAGATTTACCTATCTAGTCTTTATACCTACAGCAAACATGTCATTAGAATAGACAATGAATGGGAATGGGAAAGAAGTGTAGAGGTGCACAGGAGAATACAGAAGGTCTGGCATATGGAGCGCATATGTTCTCTACTGTCTAAAATTGAGTTTGACTGTAAATATCCCTGTTGAGTAGGACTTCCACTTCACAAAGAAGCCTGTAAGGCATATGTCAATGTGTTTGGATTAAAATGAGTTTACATGGGGTTTTAGGCAACGCTGTACATTACTGTTCTTACTATGCCTAGCTCCTCCTGTTGTCTTTATTACAGACTCTTGAATGGAGAGCCTAACTCTGCAATTACTCTTTTCATCAAGGAGCAGTATGGCCCCAGATGTGCTTTGCTTTTTCCTGGGATACTAGAGAGGCGAAAACACTGCATTTACTGCGCTCTCACTATGTAAGCACTCCTTCCCTGCAGTGTGACCTGCTTCCCTCACAAAAAGGCAACATTCAATGAGCTAAAACCTCCAACCCTCTTGGTGGGCAGCAATGACAGCTGACACCAGAGGTCTTTCCATGTGGGAGTTACAAGAAAAGTAACCTTGCCTCTTGTGTAGAAGCAGGGATGTTGCAAGCACATGAAACAAGATGTCAGAGCACAGGTAGAAATGTTGATTCACTCCACGTTAAAGGCTGGAAAGGCTGACACACTGAAAAGCACTAACATACTTTGAGTTGCATATTAGTAGACCATATATGATATAAATTCTGAAGCGCTTTTTTCAAGCTCTTTAAAAAAAAGCAGTTGTAAATTTACTTTCATCGAGAAGGCTGTTCTTAACGAAATAGTGCTATCACTGTATACGTAAGTAGTTCAGAACTATGCAATTTTCCATCCTTCGAACTAGGAAGGAAAAAAGGACTGGGGGTGCTGGCTGACAGCTGGCTGAACATGAGCCAGCAGTGTGCCCAGGTGGCCAAGAAGGCCAACAGCATCCTGGCCTGTATCAGGAATAGTGTGGCCAGCAGGAGTAGGGAAGTGATTGTGCCCCTGTACTCGGCACTGGTGAGGCCGCACCTTGAATACTGTGTTCAGTTCTGGGCCCCTCACTACAAGAAGGATGCTGAGGTGCTGGAGCGTGTCCAGAGAAGGGCAACGAAGCTGGTGAGGGGTCTGGAGCACAAGTCTTATGAGAAGCGGCTGAGGGAACTGGGGTTGTTTAGTCTGGAGAAGAGGAGGCTGAGGGGAGACCTTATCGCTCTCTACAACTACCTGAAAGGGGATTGTAGTGAGGTGGGTGTTGGTCTCTCCTCCCAAGTAACCAGCGATAGGACAAGAAGAAATGGCTGCAAGTTGCACCACGGGAGGTTTAGATTAGATATTAGGACAAATTTATTTACTGGGAGAGTGGTCAAGCATTGGAACAGGCTGCCCAGGGAGGTGGTGGAGTCACCATCCGTGGAAGTGTTCAAGAAACATGTGGACGTGGCACTTCAGGACATGGTTTAGTGGGCATGGTGGTGTTGGGTTGGTGGTTGGACTTGATGATCTTAAAGGTCTTTTCCAACCTTAATGATTCTGTGATTCATGAAATAGTATGAAAAGTATATGAATTATATGCAAAAAATACATGGAATTGGAAGAATTTGAAATTAGAGAACTTCAGAAAACATTTCCAAGGATCCTGGGATGAAAACCATCCTGTTTTCTTATCATAATTTAATTTTCCTTAAAAAAAATGTATAATCCAAACACGAAATTTCATTTCAGAAATTGGTGCTCTCTCAGGCTGACACACAGAGAAAGCCAGAGAAATTTGCCTTCATAAACATTGAGTAAAAGCAGAATTAAGCCCCGAGGCTTTGTAAGCAGCCATCACTTTCCTTTCCTGAATTAAAGCTACCAGAAACTCTATCATATCATAGTTTACATAGCATGTAAAGCAAACTCCATGTGAAAGATATGGAGGTTTTTTTTATAAGAAAGTACCAGAGGTGGTTCCCTAACTACAGTGGTACACATCTGTTGAAGTACCACTGCTCAGAAACTTCCTGTTGTCATCATTTGATTTATGCAGTTTTCTAGCCTTATTAAGTACTTTTTTTTTTAATATCTCATTGTTCTGCAATTCTACAGCGAGCCTGTTCAATGTCTGTGTGAGATGAAAAACTTGAAATGATTGTAATCAAAAAGCAAAACAATAATAGCAAGCTTTCTGATAACGTAATCATAGCTGAATTAAGCTTTGTGTAAACTGTAATCAGTCATATCAAGACTATATCACATTTACTCCTTAGGAGTCTAAAAATGTTAGATGGTATCAGATCAGTGTTCCCAATTGTGTAACCCAGACTGGGCAAATAAAAACTGTGCCACCCTGTTAAAGGCTAAATCTATGATGCATACACCAAATCCAATGCATGTAAGACAAGTAACTTCACAGACTACTGTGAGCAAAATAACTGGGACTTTCAGGTGAGGTGATGATCTATTTACTATGCAAAGACAACTACATTTGTTACACATACAAATTCAGCACACATTTTTAAGAATCATGAATTCCTAATTTTAGATTTGGGGGAAGGGAGATGGCTCCTTGAGTCTTGTGATTAGAGGTCTAACCTAGAACACAGGAGATTCTCGTCCACTAACTTGGGAACAGTATATTCAGCAGGCTCCGTCATGGATTATGAACCTCATATGCATAAAGCTTCACAGGCGTAAAAAACGCCCACTTTACCAGCCTGAAACTCAATGATTATGACTTCCTTCAAAGTCAGTATACTCTCGCCTAAGAAAACTGGACAGTGTCAGATGGAAATAGTATTTTTATCATTTTTCCTGCTAGGCTCAGTTCAGAAAATATTTTATAACATACCAATAAATTCCCGTTTGGGACATTTTGATGGCAAGATTCCCTGAATTCCACTTAATTTGTCATTGAAGCAATACTGCAGGTAACTTGCTCCTGCCTAAACAACATGTCCTACAAGAAGACAATTTAACCTTTTCTTTTCTTTTGTTCCCCACAATGCTGAAACCTGTTCTTTCATTCCCTAAATATGTAAGACAGGCCCATTTTCCTACCAGTCCAGGTATCCAGCATTTGGTTTCTTTTTCCCAGAGGAGCTGGATTTTTGATGGAGTTCAGATATCTACTGTCAAAAATATGGCATCTAAAGTAGAACTAAATACATCTACATTTAGTTTCAGGAAAAAAATCTACTCATAATTGTTACTAAGAGATTTATTTATTTTTTTAAGAAGATGCCAACATTAGTCTTGATGCATCTGATTATCACAACTGACCTGCATGGTCCTACCACAGGAAAAAATGGAGAAAGATGCCTTGGATCCATCAGAAGATGCCACTTAAAAACACTGAAGTGACAAAGTAAATAAAGTGACATACTAAGTCCAAGTTACACTGGAAGATTACACAGCAAAGCAGAACTCCCTTCACTGCTTTGGCCAATGCAGAAGAGACAGATGACAGCATTTTGGCATCCTCCCTCCTCAGAAAGAATTTTTTTTTTAAGTAATGCTTAATATTTGAGGAGATAATAGACATTCCACTCAATAACATTATAGTCTTTCAAACCCATGGCATAGGATTTTGTAGTGGACATTGGAGAGGATTTGAAAGATCTGGCCCATAGCCAGCTCCCTAAATTGTTTAGCCTTTTTTCTCCTGAGATTTTCAGTACTGGAGTCATACAGTGTACTAGAGATTTATAAAGAGTATACCCTAACTTGATTTCAAAATGCAAGTTCATTATAGATTTTAAAAAAATTATTGTTATCAAAAGCTTTGAAATTCTCAAAATGAAACACTCCATTCA